GAGGGTTATTTTTACGTTCAGCCAAATTGAGATCCCTAACGAGGGGTAGACTATAGTGGGCCCCTATTTGTACTTGCTGGAGCCTTGTACGGTCGGCTTCAGTCACACTGAGGGCCCCTTGGGCCACCACCCGCTGTAGCACCTGTTCCAGTCGAAGAAGCGATGAGGAAACAGCCTCGCCCTTGCGCTGGAAAGTGCTGAGCAGTTCATAATAGGCCCCTTCGCCTGGGTGGATCGTCCGAACACATCTCGCAGTGTCTGGAGGCGCTGGTGAGTGGTAATGCTGGGCTGCTGGAGCTTGGCTGTCCTGATTACCCCAAATGCCGGTTCTCGCAGCACATCCAAAAGATGACGACATTTTTTTTCGTCTAGTATTTGCCATGTCATGAGAGTCTCTTGTACATGGGCAGCCCAGGATTCAAATCCCTCCTCTCCGGTGGGGACTGGGAGGTTCCCAGAAAAGTTTCTTAGTCTTTTATATGCAGCCCGGTCATCGGAGGAGCTGGCCACCTCCTTAAGGACCTGCTGCATAGCCACAACCCATTCCTGGGTGATCCTGGGTGAGGCTGTTACCCCACTGGTTCCAGGGAGTTCCCTGGCATCGTCTCTTTCTGGTGCCCGGGGCATGTTTTCTCCTCGCTTGACTCTATAGGGGTATAGAGCACTTCACAAAATTAAGCTCCTGCCAATAAAATCCCGGACAAGCCCCCAAAATGTAGCCCGGGTGTACCTGGGTTTGTACTTCCCTCCAATTGAGGAAATTATTGGCAGGGCAGTGTGCTGTGGAGGGACACAACAGCCCAGTGGCCACCTCCATCCCCTATAGAATCAGATCCAGTCAATCAATTACTTAACTATATACAGATTTATGATCACAACAAAACCATTAAAGGATAAGGACATATATATAATCTATGTACAAGTTTACAAAACAATAAACCCTATAATATATATATAGGACCTAATATATATATAGGATTGGTAGATGGGCTCCACCAATCAAAACAGCAGGATCTCAAGCCTGGGTTTCAACCCAAGCTCTGAAAGGTGAGCCTGCTACGTACAGAGAAACCAAGAATGGAAAGACATTTTTACAAACTGTTTAGTATAAATAAATTGGGATGTGAATTCGGCATTTCAGTGACGGGGCTTTCACAGGGCACTGGTGCAGGTGTGAGCTCTGGAATGGCACAGGAAGTAGGATTTCTCTTCCATTGGGAAATGCGGTGATTTTGTTTTGTTTTGACACTTGATGATCTTCCAAGAATGGAAAATTTCACTTCTTTTTCCCTCCTGGCTTCTCCGTTTGTATGAAATTGAGGTTAAAAGAAAAAAAAAAAATTTCCAAATGAGAACTGAAAATGTTCTCTTCTAAATATGAGCATATGTTATTACAGCAGCAGGATGTTGGATGCCCTGACCCCCCTGCTTTGCCTATGGCAGGCTTGGGTGTGATGTCTTCTGTTGTGTGAGGGTCGATGGTGTTTTTACTAAAATTTACTAAATAATGGATCTGGGTAGAACGTGGTTTGTACAGGGCTGATCTTGCCTTAGGTAAGGGGGCTGAACTAGTTGTAACCTCTGGCAGGTCCCTTCTAGCCCCAATTCTCCGAGTCACAAAAAACCCCATACATGTAAACCGTAACATGGTGAAATCACAAAAAAGGGCAATTTTCATCACATGCACAAGAAGGCTAAGGGCACCCAGGGCTGCACTGGTAGGAGCATTGCCAGCAGATCCACAGAAGTGATTCTTCCCCTCTCTTCAGCACTGGTGAGGCCCTTCTGGACTCCAGTGTCCAGCTGTGGGCCCCCCACTGCAGAAAGGATTGAAGAGAGTCCAGTGGAGGGCAAGAAAGAAGGTTCAGGGGCTGGGGAGCAGGATGGGTGAGGAGAGGCTGTGAGAAATGCACTTATTTAGTCTGGAGGAGAGAAGACTGAGCGGGGATGTAATAGCAGCCATTAATTGCAAGTGCGGTTGCAAAGAGGATGGAGCTGGACTATTCTCAGTGCTGGCAGATGCCAGAACAAAAAGCAATGGGCTCAAGCTGCAGCAAGGAAAGTTGAGGTTGGATATTAGGAGAAACGTTAATGAGAAGGGTAGTAAGGCACTACCCAAAGAGGTGATGGAAACTCCATCCTTGGAGGTTTTGGAGCCCCGGGTAGCTGAAGCCTTGGCTGGGATGATGTAGCTGAAGCTGGTCCTGCTTGAAGCAGGGGGCTGGACTAGATGAGACCTCCTGAGCTCCCCTCTGACCCTCATTTGCATTGATTTCATAAATATTAGGGCTGGAAGGGACCTCGGAAGATCATCGAGTCCAGCCCCCTGCCCAATGGGCAAGAACTCAGCTGGGGTCAAAGGATCCCAGCAAGATAAATGTCCAAATGCTTCTTGAAAGTGTCCAGAGTAGGTGCTTGCACCACCTCTGGCGGCAGTCTGTTTCAGGACTTGGGGGGTCAGACAGTAAAGAAGTTTTTCCTTATGTCCAGCCTGAAATGTTCTTGGAGGAGTTTATGACCATTGGACCTTGCCATCTCCTGGGGTGCCCTGGTGAACAGGTGTTCCCCCAGATCCTGATGCACACCCCTTGTGTACTTATAGGCTGCTAACAAGTCACCCCTGATCTGTGCTTCTCCAGGCTGAAGAGTCCCATAGCTCTCAGCCTCTCTTCATAAGGCCTCTTCTCATGCCCTCTGATCATGTGCATGGCTCTCCTCTTTCAAGCTTCTCTACATCCTTCCTAAATTGTGGAGCCCAGAATTGAATGCAGTACTTCAGCTGCAGCCTCACTGAGGCCAATACAGCGGGAGGCTGACATCTTGCTTGAGATGCATCAGTAGATGCAAGCCAGAGTTTTGTTCACTTTGCCAGCTGTGGTGTTGCATTGGTGGCTCATGTTCATCTTGTGGTCAGTCATGACCCCCAAGTCTCTTTTGGTCATGGTGCTAGCAAGCATAGCATTGCCGAGTCTATAAGTGTGATGCAGGTTTTTATTCCTGAGGTGGAGTACCTTGCATTTCTCTGTATTGAATGCCATCAGGTTTTCATTTGCCCACTTTGCAAGCCTATTGAGGTTGGCCTGGATCACCAGCCTATCCTCAAGTGTGGAGACTCTTCCCCAAAGTTTGGCGTCATCAGCAAACTTGGCCAGTTTGCTTTTGACACGAGTGTCCAGATCATATATGAAGACATTAAAGAGTACAGGTCCAACAACAGAGCCTTGCGGGACAACACTAGTCACTGAGTCATTAGTCTCTAGTTTTCCATAATTCTGTGCTCTCAGGGCTCTTCAAGGAGCAGCCCTGGCTACTATCCTCTCCTACTGCCCCGGTGTGGACGTGGCCCTGTAGATTTAGCCCCTCAAGTCAGCGTGGGGGTATAGAAGAGGCATTTGGTGGGGCATGGGCTTGTCTTGGGGTCCCTGGGGGCTGCAGGTTGGGAATGAGGGGCACGACTAGGGCTAACAGGACAGGCAGCTGCAGGTTGGGAGTGAGGGACACCAGCGGGGCTGGGCGGGGGCAGGGGGCTGTGGGTCAGGGGTGAGGGGCACCTGCAGGACTTGGGGTTGGGGATGTGTGTTGGCAGTGAGTGGCACTGGTGTGGGGGATGGAGGAGCACAGCAGGGGGACGGAGGAGTGGACAAAGAACAGAAGGAAAGAGAGAGAGAGAATGGGGGAACGAGTGGCCTGCCAGGGAGGGGTGCGAAGGGGGCAGAGAAAAAGTGTGTGTGTGTGTCCCAGGTGCCTGGGTTCCATATGTGTGTGTCCATCTCAGACACCTGGGTTCCATGTATGCAAGCGTGTGTCCACACCGGACACCAAGATCCATGTGTGTGTCCCGGACACCTGGGCTCCATGTGTGCATGTGTGTACCTAGCCAGGGTGGGTCTGGCTTTGGGGCTTTACTTGTAGGTGTGTGTCTGGAGACTATTGACAGACCACAATGCACCAGGCTGAAACCCAATTAAGGGCTGCTGCTTCGTTAGGCCTGTTGTCGGTAGAGGCCTCCAGGCTCCTGTTTCCTTTCACTGGCTCTGGTACGGGGGTGCAGGTTGTGCGCGTGTGTGTAATGGGGCCAGGAGAGAATGCAGGCATCCGGGCTCCCAGCCCCCGCTCTCCTCCCAGAGTTGCAGAGCACCCAGGCGGCCGGGCGTGTGCTCTAACCACTGGCCCTCCCAGCCGCCACCTCAGGGGCGTGGCCTATTGCAGCCTTTCCTGCCCCAAGTCACAGTGCAGGGTGCACAGCGCCGGGCGCAGCTGGGAGGGGTCCTCTGCCTGGAACCCCCCTGCCTGGTGGAGCCGGTGCCTGGACTGGGACAGGAGCCTGAGACCCAGGACAGGTAGGACCCTCAGCCAGGATCGGGGCCACCTGGGTGCCAGACAACCTTCCCCCCACCCCACAGGGCTCCAGACACTTGGGATCTCTCCCTGCCGTGGGAGGGAAGGGGGGTCGGAGGGTTCAGAGCCGGGGGTGCAGGGAGCCCGGACACCCGGGTTCTCCAGAGAGGAGTCGGGTCTGGGGTAGCGCGGAGGATTTGGAGCCTGGAAACCCAGGTCCTCCTCGTACCCCCGGTGCCACCGCCCAAAGGCAGGCTCTGGGCACAGTGGGGGGATGGGGATGCTGATGTGGGGCCCATATCATGAGGCTGGTGATAATATCTTGCTGTCACAAGGGAAAG